TATAATGTATCGATATACCGATCGTCGTGGAGATCTTTGGGGGAGGCCTATGTCCAGCAGTGGACGTCTTCCGGGCTGCGATGATGATGATGATAATGTATCTATGCATAGTAATATAAAATAATGTACATTTTTACAATAATAATAATAATATACATTTTTGTATATTACATACAAAAATGTACATATATAATTATAATAATTTGTACGGCACTAGAACATATAAAATTAAAAAAGATGGGTCTCTATAATCTCCTGCTATACTATACAATAAAAATTATATAATTTTATTATTATTATTATTACTTGCGTCTCGCGCCTACTTTGCCCAGGTATATTACAAATCTTTGAATTTTTCGGCCATTTTGTAGTTCTCTTCTTTTGTGTATGGAAATTATGCATGTAACTATTATACAAATAAACCTTCTTCTTTATCTATAGCTGGAAATGTATTAAAATCTCTTGCGTAGTTTAAAAGATCTAAGCGTACAGACAGCGGTTGCAACTTAGTTTTATCTATGTATGTATATTGTAAAGATACACAAAATTAAAAATATAAATTAAAAAAGAAGTACAAACATTCTAAGTGTAATAAAAAAATGTTACCTCTGAAAAGGCTATTTATTATATTAGGCATTGGTGATTATCAATTTCTTGCGTGTGACAATCTTAATGTATTTTGATTTTACATTACATTTATGTAAACAAAATTCCTTTTTGTATTAATATTTAAATAATATCTTACAATCATAATAATCGTAACTAAATGAAATGTCTGGATAATTTAGATACATTTAATGTTCTGTATATTTTTAAAGCAAAAAATCATTTTCTTCGTCTTTCTATAATTCGACCCAATTATAATCTAGTAAGCGGACTCACTTCAGTCGTAATCAGTGCAAATCAGCAAAGCCGAATTACATAATAGACCATCTTAGACAGGAATGCTGTAGTGGACAGAGCTGTAGGTCAACGCCCTCGAGGGGTCGATGCACCAACACCCGACCTTGTCTGGCCTTGTTCACTGATGCAACCCTCGCCAATCATTATATATTATGCATATTTAATATTCCATAACCTTGTTATAACTATTTCAATCAAATTAGGTAAATATATCTATGAATAATTACTAAACTAATTCGAAAGAAATCGACTGCACGTTCAATTCGTTCGTGTGACTGTTCGTTCAGTTCAATCCCTGCCGCATTCAATTCAAATATACCCTGTAAAATATGATTTGCAATTTTTTTCATTCAGCATAATATTGGCCATTGATAGTGTCTTTATCCAACCCATCTGAGATTATAATTGTGATAAGATTTATATCTATTTATAATTTTTATTTTTACAGTTTTTCGCTGTTACTGCTTTACCACGCTTTCAATTTCTACCTAAAGGTCTTAGGAAATGCCACATGGCATTAAGCTCTCCTTTTGTACACGAGATTTTGTACCAAAAAGAATTAAAAAAGTACCTATATTGTATTAATTATCTTAATCAACATAAACATTATAAGAATCACATCAGAAAGTAATAACAACTTACACTTTTATTCGTCCAGTTTAAATTTATACTTCTCTTGCCTCTATTTATTTTGTCCGTCTTGTCTCGCGTTATTCTAAAGATTCTAAAGACTCTATCATCTATTGGACTTCATAATATGTTATCTTGGAGGGAAGAGGATTGTTAGTAATGCGGACTCATGACCCCATTACTAGCAAAGTACCATGTCAGATCGACCTCCACGCGGTTCCCCCTGGAAACCATCGTGATAAATTCCTGGTGAATTTGTCACGATGGGCTAACTGACCTGACATCATGCTCATCTTATCATCCTCCACGGATGCCCCGCCAGCGTAAACCGTTAGCGCAGGTGGGAGCACCATTTCATTATCTTCTAGTCTCTCTTCTATTCTCCTAATCTCTCTTCTATTCTTCATTTACTGTCAGCTGATGCTAGAAAGAAACATCGATGAAATACATAGTAACTGCTAATTTGTGCGTCACAAATAAGCAATAGAATATTTAAAAATAAACAACTATCCTATCACACTTTTATCAAGAAAACTAATATCTAATTTTATACCCCTCTGCTCTCTCAGCTACGCTGATAAATCTTAACAAAATATCTAGATAATAGTCATTTTCCTTATAGGTACATATAATAATAATAATAATAATATCTTTAGACAATTCACACAGCGCCATCTAGTCCCTAGTTAATCTGACCTTGTGTTATGGGTACAGGACAAGTGATATAAATACATACATAGATACTTTTTTTTAAATACACCAATACCGATATTCGTATTCATGAGTGTTAAATGTTTGTACCGTGCGAGTAATCGAACCCGCGTCCGTCGGAAGTAAAGCAGTATGCTAAACTACTAGATCACCGAGACTATCTATAATTATACCTATAATTCACCAAAGCTCAATATTTCACAAATCGCACAACCAGGCAGCTTTTACTAACTAGTTTCAGAATTACAAAGAAGCTAGGTAGTTCCGTTTGCGTTATCCGTAAACCAAGGCTTTTAAGAAGGAGTAATACTCGTGAACCAATAAGATAAGTTAATAAATTTAAGTAATTAATATAAGAGGTCAGGTGAAATAATAATAGGTAACATCCATAGAACCTTATCGGTTTAAAACTGTACTAGTTTTAATTAGTATTCTTTGATATATACTTCTAGAAATTACCTATTGCTTATTTAATTTTCATTACTAGAGAAGTAAAGAAAATTAATTTAATTATATATTATAAAATAATAAATATAACCCTGAAAAATTTACACAGCGCAATCTAGTCCCAAAAAAACTTGTGTTATGAGTACTAGATAACTGATATCAATACTTAAATACATATTGTCTATATATACACATAATATACATTAGAAACACTCAAACCAATACAAACAAACATACTCAGGAACACAAATGTTTCGAACTGTACGAGGAAACGAACCCGCGACAATCGTAAAGTAAGGCGGTGCGCTAAACAGGGAGACCACCGAGGCCGTTATATTATAAAAAATAATGTTAATAGAAACATTAATTCTTCTCATTTGGTCTCGTTCTGTGCACATTCCATAATAACTGCATCTTACAACAATTAAAATAAAATAAAGGTTCCACTAGCAGTAACTGCAGCTTAACATGAAAGCTTTCTAGTGTTTAAATTTCACGTATATGGTATAACACGTTGCGCGTCGGAAAGACAATAAATTACTCCGAGGAACTTAAGTTATTACAACTGTATACAACTTTCACGTCTATATCTACTGGCTATTGAATATGTAAAGGAAATAAATGGTTTTACATGTAACCAATATCTTACTTTTAGAAATATCTGTTTAAGACAAAACACATGTTAATTCCCTTTACTTTCTCCGTTAAATTAAGAATTTTCCAAATGTGGTGTTAAGAATGATTTTGGTTTATATATTTGAGAATTATGTTTTTCTATGTAATTGTAAGCTACTTACTACTTACGTACTTACGTACTTTTATAAATAAAATCGTTTTCAATCCAAGTAATTTACTAAGGTACTGGAAATAAAAACAAATAAATAAAGTTAAAGTATAGTAAAGAAATTTAACGTACGTATGCTATATATATATGTAAGTAGATAGCTTACCTAGAAGTGAGACTATACGATAGTATGTATTTTATGGCTATATCGATCGATGGCATTCAAAGAAAATTGACGTAATAATTAGAAGTTTGACAAAAGTTTTATAACCATGAATGGTACCTAATAATATTTGTGATATCTTTTATTGTTTTTTAATGCATTGCTTTGACTTACTTTTTGACTTTGACGGAACAGAGACGTGGTCGCTAACTATGGGCCCCATCAACAAGCTCAGAGTCACTCAGAGGGCAATGGAGAGGGCTATGCTCGGAGTTACTCTGCGTGATCGAATCAGAAATGAGGAGATCCGCAGAAGAACCAAAGTGACCAACATAGCCCGAAGAATTGCGACTCTGAAGTGGCAATGGGCAGGGCACATAGCTCGTAGGACAGATGGCCGTTGGGGCAGTAAAGTCCTCGAGTGGCGACCACGGATCGGAAGACGCAGCGTGGGAAGGCCTCCAGCAAGGTGGACCGACGATCTGGTCAAGATCGCTGGAAGGCATTGGATGCGAGCAGCGCAGGACCGATCGTCGTGGAGATCTTTGGGGGAGGCCTATGTCCAGCAGTGGACGTCTTACGGGCTGCGATGATGATGATGATGATGATGAATGCATTGCTTTTTAGGTGAAATTGAAAAGACGTAATTCAATAACGTATATAAGTAATTATACCTAATATGGCAGTATGATAATGTAAATTTTTGTTCCAACTATTACTAAATTATTTTCACTTAATTTAATTATATAGCACAAATTCAAAGTAACCCCAATATATAATATGGAAATTGTTAGATAGAAATTAGAATTAAAAAACTAGTCTTGTCAAAATGAATATGGATATTTTCCATAAGAAAAAAAATCAATTAATCCATAACAAATCGAATTAAGAACCTACCTCTTTTGAAAGACTGTTATTAACTATAATTATACCTAATAACTGTAAGATCTATACAATTTTTTTTAAACAAAAAAATCTGTTCTCGTGTGGACTTGGTTACTAGAAGAGGAAAATGTAGACTTTCCAAAAGCTCGTTTTCATGAGTAAACCAAGCTCACCTATATCAGCCGCCAAATTGCTGCCATTGTAAGCTATATTTCGGTTGTAGAGGATTAGGCAGTGAAATTACAGTATAAGAGGTGACATGACTTAATCCACTGAAATGACAGAGCATGAATCTACAAGCGTCACTAAATAACGTAACGCCGGTGATGCTGTTCATGTATCTATGTATAAACGTAAGTAAATGCGCATAGGCGACGGTTGACATTTACTATCAGCTTGTTTGCCATTGCAATTACATAAAAAAAAGAAAGAAACTATATATTGATCCACTGGGATCTGCGTACTAGGGCAGCGAGCGCAGGTCCTAACTACTAACGTTTTTAATCCGGTTCGTTGCGCCCGCGCATCACTCGCTTACTTGCACTCATACTCCGCGCCTGTGCTCTCGTCTCTATCAATCGCGATTTTTTTAATTAATCGACAATTTAATTAATTAATTAAAAGTAACGAAATCAAAATGTACAAGTCACTGGTGGTTTTGTGTGTTGCATTCTGTGTGGTTATAGGTGAGTTGTTAATAATAAAATTATTGCCTAATTCTAAAAATATTAATGATGTATAAGTTGAAAGGTTTTTATAAATTATGAAATGTTTCTACAAACCGTTATGAATATAAAAATATTTACTTAATTCTATAGACATTTTAATATTAGCCACACAATTCCTTGTTGATAGTTTTACGTATAAAATAATTTATAAAATACCTATTTCAATAAATTAGCTGAATAACTTATTTAATTTTCAGTAATTAAAATGTTTGTGAGTATTTAATGTTATTATTTTTTGTTTTGTAATTTATTAATATATTAGTGTTATACCAATAAAAAAACATTTAGTAACACAGTCAATTATTTAAGTAATTAATTAACATTTATTTCGTCAACTGTTTACAAAATCTCAACACGGAATAATTTTATACCTAAACTTTATTGAATAGAGACAGAATCTTTTATCTAAGTCGTAATCTTAATTAACTGCATCGCTCTAGAAACAATGTAGACCGCTATATCAAAGTGTGATACACAATACAAAGTCGTGATTAAAAGTTCCAATTAAATATAAAGAGATTTAAACGACAAAAAGGTTTAAGTATTCGCTGTAATGAAACTTTGAAGTCCGTTATTAATCTTATTAATGTCTTGTAAAACTTCTATATTATAAGACACCAAAGATCATAAAAGCTGATGCGATGCACATTGTTCAACATTTTTAGTATATTATGAATAATTATTTACTTAATAAATAAACTATGCAAAAAAAATATTGTTTTTATTTTATTTTTTCAATATATTAATAAAGATGTCACATTTATATTCGGAAATAATACCTATTTAAAATAGTTTTCGGAGACGGAAAATATTTTTTTTTATATTAATAACATTATGTTAGTAATAAATTATAGTCTAATCATATTCAATTCCATTTACTATAGCTATATTCTGAGGTATAAACATAATTGTACTAGACTGTAAAAGAAAAGCAAATTTTTATAAATATTGTACCTTTATTCTGCTATGCAGTTAACGGTCTGAATATTGAGTATAACAAAATCTCACCACTATGTCAAACAATTCACAAACTGACCTCTCTAACTAAATTAAACGTGAAAGGAACCTGTATACCTGTAAGCAATGTAGACTCTACGTATTCACACAATTGACAATATTTATTAGTTTTTGTATGCAGATAGACAAAACAAACAAGAAATAAAAAGCATCTACATAGAAATAGTCGTCAACCGCATCCGTCGGTATGCTCGTTTTGGATACCTCAAAAGAGTGATTTTTGAGGAAATTTTAAGGTTTAAGTAATTCGTTAAAGTTTACTGTAAATTAATTGAAATAACCGTGCGAGGCCGGGACGGGTCGCTAGTTGAAAATAAAATCAAATACATATATAACTATAATTCAAAGTTTATAGTAGCGTGAATTTCTAGATGTATGAAGCCTAAATGACCTTATAAATCTAGAAATGCTCGCCAATTCCACTAACTTCATGCTAAAAAGAGATTACTGTGGTAAAAATATCTGTAATCTCTAGTAGGCTCGGTTGACTACCTATAGTAGGTCAAATATGTTGTATTATATGTACCTAAATGGAAACTAAACCATCCAATGGCATACCAGTTTAGATAAGATTGCAATTTCCATTTGCAGTACGATTTACTGGGACAAAAAAACCCATACAACCATACCAGTAACAGCGCAATTTAGTTATTTTCATTCAATTTAGCTCTGTACATTTTCATAAATCTGCCTAATCTGTGAATTTAAAAAAAAAACAAAACTTTAAAGTAATTATTTCTTATTAACGATTAACGACCTACGCAAAAAAGTAAAGAACCAGGAATACAATATAGGTACAGAGGAATAAATAATATAGACTAAAAGGTTGTCTCTAGAAAGAAACAGATAAAGAAGAAAAAGAAAGCGACAGATATTACATTATAAATAAAAAAAAAACTACCTACGCACCGTGTTTAATTCCTCATTCCTATGTTCCCAGGTCACAAATGAAAGTTGATTTGTGACTTGGGAGCATACGGAATTAAACCATCAATCAAACAAAATCAATCTATCAAAAAGCTCCATAGTGATTTAAATATAATATATAACATACTACTTACTTACTCGTAGCTATATTTTTCTTTTCTTTTATTTAGCTATGAAGGTATGTATATTATACCACCATATACATAATAAAATTTAGCCTATAATCAATAATAATGTATATTAGCTAATTTTATGCATAAGCATAGCATACATTAAACAATTTTGGATACCAAATTTTATATAGTTAGGTATGTCTTACAAGTCGCTTTCTCTTTAAACATGCAAGATCTACATTCTACATACAAGAAGGTATAACAAAACTTTCGCAACTCACAGTATAAATAAAACATATCTACTAAACATTTAATTACCAACATTTTCCTCTAACAAATGAACCTATTTAAAAATATAGATAATATAAATAAAATGTTTATAACATTTTAATGCCTTATTATTTAGTAGTTTTGCATCCTGGAGTTGGTCATAATAGTCTTTTGTTGTATGATTACATCTGAATATTTAATTAAAAATGAAGGGTAATTGTAGTAATATTTTTAATTTAATTATATTATTTGTCTTATAAGCAATTGTTTTAACAAAAGGACTTATTGGAATTGTCCATAATAAAACATAACATAGCTTATTATTTATGCATAGATATATTTATACTTACATACATATATTTAATTCAATCACGGAGATGATTATTCATCCAGTGCTTTCCGGGATCGTGCCCTCATGTCTGTTATACACGTACCACTTTGTAAGTAGGTATATATAGGTAACTTATGTTGCTAATAATGTTTAGTAATGATACCAACAAAAAACAAATCGATAAAATAAAACCATTGTAATAGTAATAAATCAATGGTTTAGATCACCAAAAGCATCAATCTTCACAAAAAAACAGTTTGTGGTTCCGTATTAAGAAATGCAAAACGTTACATTAAAAGTATAATCTTATTATTTGTAGTTACTTAGTATTAAATCAAGTATATGTTTGTAAGTAATAAATATTGCTTTGACCTTATAACTATTATATATGCCCATTGTTTTTGAAGCCAGCGTAATATTACGTATATTCAATCTATAAAAAATATTTTGAACGGAACAGAAACCAAAGACATCGGGAACTTTAAGTCAGTCCTTAATTTTTTGCATACAGTCGTGATTGGTGTGTCCATTAATCAATTTTAAATTAGTCATCCATAACCATGTTTTTTCAAAGACCATCTCAAAGATTTTATTGAATCACAACTATATACCTGCAGAAAGCATGATATCATGATTCCGAGAAAGATGTCTACAAGACCGATTACACCTTGCGAACTTTTATAATGAGTTTTGCAGTTCTGATACAAAAAACTTAATCGTTCCCACCAATAACAATATATTATATTCATTAATCCATTATTACGTTAACCATTTCCATTCAAAAGTCATTGCTAAAAATGTTATTCGAAGAAAAACCGCAATGGATCGTAAGTACTGCGATATAGTGTAAACTTCGCAGCTGAAAGTAAAAGAATTTTATAATAATGCAAAAACAAACACGATCAACCCGTTCTGGTTCAAGTTATGTTATACGCGAGTGGACAGGACAATGCTCTCCCATTACACCTGACCAACTACTGGCAACTACGAACACTCGCCATCAACTTGCTCCATCGATTTTGTACATCGACAGCTTTTCAAATAAACCTATAAACTTACCCAGTCAAAGTAAGAAATACAACAGATACTATTTCTTCGCAAATATAATTATTATTTTCTTTTGGAATCGGAATTTACTCATGCATTTATTTCATCTTTCATTTATTTAACTTTCGTCAAATTAAGCTTTCATACGGAAATTGGTCCATATGTTTATTATAATTATTGGGCAATAAATGCACAAAAGATTTAGAAAACGGAATGTTATTACAAGAGCATTCAAACAAAATCTACCGAACCTTCAAGTATAGATTAACCTTCAAGTATAGATTAGTACAGATTTATAAATTTAATTATTGTAATTTGAATTATTATCTCATTATTATATTTGTGTATTTTTAATTTGCGTCTACTTAATAAAACTGAATAAGGGATAACGCAAAGGCTAATCCATTGTTTGTATTCTGCACGTTGGTGTGGACTAAGAAGGGATTTCTCTAAACAACGGTATTGAAAGATAACGGGTTCGGGCGGGCGACAACTTTGACCATTGAATACGATAGTACCGAAGGATAGGTCCGCCGTGCAATGATTAGGACTTGATTAACAGTTTAGGTACTATTGAGCAAACATCGGTTCCATATCAGTTCTTAGTACACAATATATACCTACACGTCAAGTTACCGAATCTACATTCGACAATCGAAAATCCCACATTTTCTTTTTGTTTTAACCATAATGAAATTGATTTATGGAGTGATAGGGATGGATCAAATTTAGTAAAGAAGATTATATGCGGCAACGCAAAGGTACTGCCGCTAGTTCAGAGAGACAGAATTTAGTAAGTGATCTTTTGTCTTGGTATAGTCATATATTAGAGAATATTACAGATAGTCATGTAATGTGTAAAAATAAGTATAAATGTAAACATCTAGAACAAGTGAAGTGAGCGTGAAATCTACCCCAGTAGAAATAAAGAAGTTATTCATTTGAGATGAACTGTGTACCTATTAGAAATAAATAAAATAGCGAAAGGAGTGAATGCTGAAATGGCTGGTAGCAAAAATAGATGAAATATAAAAGATATTATAACTGCTGATCATAAATTATATTTTATTCACAGAACAAGGAGTCATATTTTAAATTTTACTACTCCTATATATCATAGCCGTGCATCTCATTACTACTTAGAATATTACTTAGGAACTTTCTCGCGTAAGTAATAGTTTAAATAACTATAATTAAATTGAGCTAGACTGTTAAATTATTTACGATAATGGCCTAGCCATATATCGTACTTGCTATACCTAAGTATATACTGGAAATATTACTTTAGTCGTTTAGACTTATACAGATAACCTGCTACGACTTTTCATCTTGACCTATATGTCCACATCTTTAAGTTGCAAATTCACTACTATCAATTCAGTTTGTTTTGTTTGTAATAAATACTTTATTATTTATATATTGTTAAGGATTATTATTATATATTATTGTAATAAATAATATTATTTCATTCGTATTATTGTTATTATAATTATATATGGATATATAGTGAACTCAGTTGCACACTCTGTGCACTTAAGTTATATAATTTAGGAAATCCAATCGTATCCAGAATTCTAAAGATGTAAAACTAACAAATGGGAACCAATGACTAGATTATTTACTATCAAACTGAAACTTAAGACAGATTCTCAAGAGGCGTCTCTACATAACCAAACGCAGGGCAGGATAACAGCCAATAAGAATGAGCTGTGCCGCCAAATATGTCGTAGAATTACTGTTATTTTGTGTATGGGTACGAATGAATCCGTTGTTCATAAAACCGCTCTCTAATAAAAATTATTATTGGTAGTGAACAATAAATATATACTTTATGATACATACGTGTATGATCATTCGTATAACATCTGTACATGACAATTCCTTTTACGAGTTAGTACTCTATCTAGTGAGACACAAGATACTTAAATCTGGTCTAAAAGAGTGGTCTAAAAGTTATGAACTACGAAACGACATATACGAAGATTTGGCTGCAATTTTCTAACTGTTACAAACTTACTTTCGCACATATACCTAATATTAGTTAAGATTAAGAATATAGAAAATAATTAATAGCTATAATAATATTGTGGTAATGTTCCGTGACCGAGACCAAAATTCAGATCATGTGAAACTGCGTGTTGCTAAAGTTTGATCGAATCATTTGTAAACAGGCTGATAATGCTACAGTCATAATTTTATGTACTTACTAAACATGATTACTTGAATTTACTAGGCTCTCAATTAATTGGGCAATAATAGAATTCTATATATATCAGTAGGTATGGTTTTTTTTATTGTTTATGACATTACTTACCAATTGCCTAGTATAGTTAGTGCAAGAAAACAAAAAGTAATAGAATTAATAATCAAAATATAACCTTCACAGTTATTAGTCCTTATGCCTCATACCGTCCTATCTAGAAAATAGTCGAAGATTCGAAAGGATAACCTATTGACGTCATTTGTGGTGAATACAACTGTTGATATGCGCATATCGCTGGGTATATTTGTATTTAATGGACTACTCAAATTGGTTTTTTATTTGTTTAATTTGGTGTTCACCACAGTTCATCACAGAAAAGTCGGTCAGAAATATAGATTGATAAACAAAGCATCGAATGTATCGAACAGATATGTACACTCTCACTCGTTTATTAAAATATGTAAACATCTCTTTATAAACAAGATATAAATTGTAATAACCTTTGCAATTTTAAATGTGTGTAAACATAAAGTAATAATAAACTATAAATATTTAATATTTTACGTTTATTAACCAGTGCTGCCAATAAGCACACAGTAAATATTTTTAGTGCGGTACATAATGCAAAATACTTAAAATATATATACATTTTTTTTTTATTTACCTGTATTTTAATTACATAAGTACTTTAGTACGGAAATAATATAAACGCGATAACGGTGTCTTTAAGCAATGAGTTTATTCATCTATATTTTCAATTAATCTGGGGCAACTACCTATAAGTACCTACCAAATATTAGAGCAGTGCAAATAACTTATAAAAGAAAATTAACCATATCCGAATTAACATTGGGTTTAAACTCGTCAGTGGATTTGAGAAATGGATGTAGGTACAGTTAACAATTTGACAAGCAAAAAGTCAAGGCTAGTATGATGGACTACACCGTTAGGCGAAAGTTGGATGGGTGCATTCACATCTCTTCTTTTCAATGTGTAGGTAGATGTTTATTCTTTAATGCTTATATCGATGTAAGTATGGTTAGCTGTACAGTTTGTACTTAGGTAGATAGGAGTACAATATATTTATAGTGTTGTCGTGCTACACATGTAGCGTAGTACTATAATATATATATATATATACAAGGGTAAATACCTGAAAATAGCTCAAAAATAATATGATTATAAAATTAAACCGACCTAACCCAGAGGTTACAAATATAAAATTACAAAATCTGAATAAAACAATACGAACTATGCGAATTTTTCGCATAATTAAGGTTTTTATATAATTTATATAAATGTCTTCATTTACTTGTGAGCAAAATAATATGCTAATGGAAATTGGTATACTTAAGAAATCAATTAAGGGGATTTTACTGTTAAGCTGTTATCTAGAGCAACACTATAAATCGATGCATATTTAGAAGAAATTAATACCCATAAAATGTACATTTTATCGTCACCTTCGTGTTATTTAAGTACAATCAACACTACCTCACTAATCGGTTAAAATGTCCATAATGTAGATTATGTTACATGTATTCCTGGTATCAATTGCTATAAAAAGATTTTACCTAAATAGCTTACCTAATTATGTAAACTAGGTAATCTGGCACTCAATGTGGTCCATTAGATACTAAAAAATGCCAATATTTGCATTACGCGAGATTGGAACCTGCGACTGTAATTAATGGCGCATATATATTTTACCTATGTCAGATACTAGCTGATCCAACAGGGAAATAACTTGAAACAAAATACTTACCATCCTTAATAATAAACTCTATATAATAATGAGTGTATATAAATTATTTAATCCTAGGTATTAATTAAAATACGAAATATATGAGTAATTTGTGTTCTCATATTATTAAATGCATTGTTTGCCGTCATCACGGCTTTGTAATCACGTTTTACCGTATGACTACATACCTATCTAAAATGTAAGTTAAGTACACGATCATTTGTAACTGTTCCATGAGAGTTAAACTTCCGGTTGTCCATCATGAGATTTATTATGATAATATCGCAATAAACAACAAACTCTATATATTATAAATAAACGTACGAAGAATTTAATCCATGAAAGATCATATTTATTCCTTGAATAAATTGAAAAATTCGTAATAACTCAATACCGTTATTTGTATTACTAACTAAGCAAGTATCTTTGTCTACTTATATCTTAAAACTATGCAGTACCTACCATGCAATAAAATATATTTAAGTTTTGATGCGTGCTTGGAATTAAATGTTTACCTACATTTACTAAACCAGACATCTAGCATTATTTTAAACAGCTTCAAATACATAATTTTAGAATTATATACCTATGTATAACTTTCTTTTGAAACTGTTTAATGATTAAACTCACAAACCATTTAATTTCTATCTTTTGGAATAAGAAAATTTTGCAATCCTGTTAGATGAAGCCCCTGGTTGTAAGAGAAGAAAATTACAAAGTAAGGAAAACTAATCATCGGCTTCTTCTTTATCTATTTGGGTTCGGCGAAATATGTTTTTCTCTTTTATTCATCCCTGTTTGCAGTCATCTATTTTTAGACCTACTTTTGCCATTACAACCATCAACATTCTTATGTATTAATTTCTTTATAGCATTCTCTTTATTCATACGTATTACATGTCCTTTAAGGAAGACTATGTCTATATAAGAAAACCATCTGCTAAGATTTATATGATCTGTTCCTACAATTTACTGATCGTTGCTGGACTAGCTAGGGAACAAAATTGTACAAGAGGGAGACTGTTATAGCAAGTACATTTTACAAGTACCTAGTCTATCCTAATAGGTTTAACGACCTAAACAAGAAAAGCGGTTCACTGCGGACCTATTCCATTATATTCGTATTAGCGAATTTACGATGTATGCGCTGGGTGCATCCTGCAACTATGTATTGATACCTACATATGCTATCTGTTTAGTTAATCTGTACTATAGATACCTGATACTTTATACACCGTTCGTTCCACATAATATGTATTTAAAGTTTTAGATAGATATTTCGTAATTCTTTGATCCAGGCGACAAAGGGTATATCTACCTACATCTTTACCGAAAGAAATCTTTGAAAATGGTATATATTATATAAACGGGATATTTAACATGATAATATTATAAACACCCGTGAATTAGTTTAAATCAACCTTTGGAATCCTCTTTAAATAATAAGCAACACAAAAAAACATATACGTCCGTACCATGTTACATTGGAACACGCATCCGTGTCGTAATGTAACGTATGTATGTAAATCTATGTTTTATAAGAACATTCTTTAAGATTTTTTTCTTAATCAATCATGTAACAGAGAACATTCAATGTAATGTCAAAAAATATGAAAAATGAAATATGTAAATATCAACCTCGAATGGTTTGTAATTGCTGAGAAAAATTGAGATTACTAACTTCAATATTTGCGATGCGTCGTCATAAAGTTGGTTGGCGTCATAAAGTCGTCTTAAAGGTGTGCGATTATTTTTTGTAAAATGATTATTCAAAAAACTCTTCATTAATGTTATAACCTAATCTTATTTCAGAAGCACGTCCAAAATGGCAGATCCTACCGCCAATGCCAGGCTACGTCCCCGTCTACATCAGAACTGGTGACACCCCGCTCGAAGAGATAAACCCTGAGTTAGCAGAGGCTTTCCACGCACTCCCAGCCGGCCGGAGCGCAGGAAAAGATCTGGAAGCCTCGCCAGATATACCTGAACAGGCTGATCAACCACAACCAGAGATTCCAGAAATTTCACAGCTATCAAAAATCCCAAAGAACTCAGAAGTGGACGATATCATAGACAAACGCCCGTATGAGAAAAAAATCTTGGAGAAAAAGAAAAAAGCCACTTTTGACATTTCGAAACCAATTGAACGTAGATAAAAAACGCGATAGTTGATAATTCCCGTGCTTATATTAAGTGTTAGTTAATAAATACTCACTCTAGTGCCCTAAATAAGCTTGCCATCCGCTTCGATTATTTATTTTATAATGTAAACTATTTTTGTAGCATTAAATTATTTTTTTTCTTAAGTTTTTCTTATTTGGTTCCGTCATTATCTTAATTCAGTCTGTGGATAGAACACATAATTGAAAAGAAATAATATTATTAAAAGTACAACTCATTTTTAAGTACTGCGTACAGACGATGTCCACAATAACCTTAAAAGGTCCATCCATAACTTACCTCACACTATTGGAGGGAGAATGTATCTAAGTATTGAAACACATAATTCAAATTATTAAACTTAATATTTTTATATATGAGCTATGATAAGGGGGTGGAATAAAAAAATTAAATTCATGCCCATATGCTGGAAGAAGCTGGTTTCAGTGGAACTTCCTCCTGCACTTGGATTGTGGAATAAACTAGCCGCCGAGATGTTCGCGAGATACTGGGAGATACCCCAGGTATCTCACATTAGGTTTTTCAACAAATTATTAAGGTTTTTCAAGAGTCGGCAACGCGCACGAGACGCTTTAACTTCGTTTACCACCACCGTATGCTCGTTTGCCAGCATCGTAGTATAACAATAAAATAATTGTGTGACAAATAGACGGCCCTGAGCATATAAATAGTAGATATTGCCAGAGATAAGAGATTATTACAAAGTATTATTAAATATATTACAGAATTACATCACATAACAATGTTTGGCTTTCATATGCCATAAACAGGATTATTTGTAATATTGTGTCCACCCGATTTGCGTCTACTCGATGACCATCAAACTTAATTATCAGTGCACAATATTGCATTTATTTCTGAATTGACATTAATTGATTCTCTTCGTAATGACCTTCGAATTATTTCGCACGGTCTAAACCATTTTAGGAGTAAAAAAATGTAAAAGAAATAAAATCATTTTTTCAATATTCTTTATTACATTAATATCTACAATTATGTACAGTTGTATGTATAAAAATTTGTACTCGTTTGCAATTACTCGCCATTCACTAAATTTACATAGTCCTTGACATTATCTAAATTGTCACTATTTTGTGGTACAAAAAGTGTTCGCACAATTTTATTGAAATTAATAATTTCGAGATTATCATAACCACACATAAATGATATTAGATAGAACTAATGCATATATTTTTATTACATATTGAACTTTTGATTTTACACATTCGTAACAGAAACATCACAAATAAATATAATAAAATAACTATATACATTTTTACAGAACAAAATCTATATGCTAATGAAATAAGGCATTATTGACATTTTAATTCTCCAGGATAAAAGTCGAAAAGGTGAACACAGCTCACTCTCTCTAGTACAAAACCTCTTGGGCACAGAAGTATGTAATCTCTTCTTCTTATAGGATATAGGATCCGTGCTGAAGTAGTACTTAATTGGTAATTTATTATAATAATAATAATATTGATTTTACTGCTCACAAGGAAATTTACAATATGAAAATTATTATGATCACACACCAAAAATATTTACTATATCAGGTGTATTTCTTCGCTCCACAACTCTATATAATCTAAAATCACTGAATTATGCATGATTACAAAAAATATTTACATTTAAAATTCTTCTAATTGCCAATTATTATTTGTCAAAAAATGGTTAAAAGTACATACAATGTCACGTTAATGTGTTAAACACATTTTACAATTGTGGACTGAGCCCAAACATATATGAACTATATTTTATCGAATTAGGTCTTATTTTGGTCAGGTTTTCGCACTAAATATATGTAGTCTCACGCAGTAGGAACGAAACAAAATAGTATATGTATTATAACAAAATCCATTAAGTACTATATATGAACTAGTCAACCGCAGTCTCTGCGCGAAAATTTGTCTCGAAAAATGTTTCTTACCAACATCAAATTTTAAACGACAAAATGTAAATGACAACATGTAAAGCGACTTACATTAAGAATCTCTTGTATTCTTAATGTAAGTCGCTTTACATGAGTTATTATTGTACTTCTTTCTTCTTAGAAATAGACTATATGACGGTCTATGTTATTGATCTAGCGGTATCGTACCGTCTTATTTCCGACGGTCGCGGGTTCTATTCCTCACATGCCATTTGTATTTATGAATATGATTGTTTATATCGCTCTGGATGTTTTCTCTGTACATTTATAAAAAAAATCAAGTAATTCTACCCGTTGTCTAGTACCCATGACACAAAGGTCTTCTTACCTTGACACTAGATGGCGCTGTGGAAACTATCCTTTTATCAATTAATTAATTGTTTAATAATACTATTATAGTTGCTACTATTTAAAACAATCGTTTTCAAATACCATAACTAAGCTCAACAATTCACGACTTTCTCATAGACAACATAACATTGATTTCCCATATAATTGTCCTTAGATTGGTTATCACTTCTTTTAATTGCTTATTTTTCAACACCACCTGTGAAAAAAGGGCATGTAAACATCTAATCGTATTATAATTTTGAAGAAAATTGCACATGCATTTAGTAGAAAAGTATTCTTATAAAATTAAAAAATACCATAAATAAATATTACTTATAATATATATAGTTGATAATATAGTTGATAACTATCAAAAAACACAACAATATCTATTTTCAATCGACTTTATAAAAAGGAGATCCTCAATTCGACTGTACTTATTTTTGTTTATTACTTTTTGGTGAATAAATATTGATGACTTTATTTTATTATAAAACTGGTGCTTCTTATGGGTTCTCGTGTATAAAATACGCGAATAAACATTGACACAAACCTGTTCTGTGAGCTCTCTGTTCTCTTCCAAAGCAAGTCTGTATGATTCAGTGTTGCGCCTCTCGTCCAACGTTTTGTTTTCTGCCTCATCCTTTAGTGGAATTAGACTTTCCATATGTGTATATTCCATACCCTATAAATTGAAAATACATTTACTATATCCCATTATAATTACTGACATATAACCATTTCAATGTCATGGACTTGGGTAGTAACAATTGTATATTACCAAAGCTAATACATATTAATATAAAAAAACATATTTAATATTATATACTAATGGTGGCCACGCCTTTATACATATGCATTTGTAGATTGAATCTACTGATGATAATCAAACGACAAAAATAAGTTAAGACTTTATACAACGCCATCATCATTATTTTATGAGTAAATTATTTTTCTCATAAAATAATAGGTCGCTCGTGCTTCTTGTGACGAGCCTGCGTTCCATTCGGAAACTGGTAGAATAAAAAATATGACTATTCAAAAGTACTTATGAGTTTATTTTATTAAACATTATTTCTATTTCTTTAATTAAAAGTTATTGATGGAGAATTTGATATTAATTATGAACAATATTAAATTATCGCTTTGTGAGTACTTTAAGATTTTTGTAGCCTATATTTAGACCCATATTTAACAATATATTCTGTAAAAATTTTCCAATTCCTCTAGATATTTGTACATAAAACATTAACTCACAAAACTGAGGAACAGACGAACACACCCCGTCACGATTTTACCACTATTTTATTACATGTAATAAAGATAAATATAGTGAGTAATGCTAATGGGAATGTAAATATAGTATATTATAAACCAATGTACAAATATTATAACTGTAAAAGGAACGACAAATTACATGGCTCCATAGCAAGTAATATATACTTTGAGATCATTATTCTTCAATCATACAGATTATATTTTAGCTTTATTGTCTATAGTTTTAATCTTTTTTTAATAAACAGTACCTGGCACGTTTCATTGCACTTCTCGTAGATCAGTCTAAGCCGTTTAAACAGAAGACGGATGGTGCGAAGTTGCTCCTGCATCTTAGCCTTCTTATCATTGCTGGCATTTTCACCATGTTGCGTACCATTTGGTGGCTAGAAATACAAGAATAGTCATACATTCTATTACTAATCGTATAAGAGAAAATCGATATCTCGTATCAAATTTATAATTTACTAGCTTTTGCTCGCGACTTCGCTCGCGTTAATTTGTCCCTTTAGGGGTAGAATTAATCAAAATCCTTTCTTAGCGGATGCCTACGTCATAACATCTACCTGCATGCTAAATTTCAAACCGATCCGTCCAGTGGTTTGGGCTGTGCGTTGATAGATCACTATGTCAGTCACCTTTGAGTTATATATATTTAGATTTATTCATCAATACCTATAACTTTTTTTCCCAACTGACTATGCATAAACAGCCAAAACTACTAACTTCGAATAAGTCCCTTTATATCAAAGAATATATTTACAATCAGTTGTTATGGCATAATGACAAATACATCAGGAAGAATATTCTGGACAAACGAACAAAATCTCTCATATGTTAGCGATCAATAGCTTACCTGAATAGCTTTCAAAGTCTGGAATACATCTTGAGTTCTGCTTACAATATCTTGTACAGTTTCCTGGCCAAATCTGTAAAACAAATATTTTTTTACAAAATATATCATAAAAAATATTAGGCCTAAACATATTTAAAATACGTTAAAATTTAACAGCACATATATTCATACCTCTTGTAGATGAATTAATTGTTATAGTTGAAATCACAAAAAGCAAATAGCCCAACAAAATGAAACAAAAGGAAACTTACGAAATATTAAATCAAGCTTTAGAGCAGTATATTTGTGAAAACCGAGTCCAAACACACAAACTAACAAACAAATTCTAACGATCATTATATGCTAAAATATAAAGATCGTTGAAGTTTGTCTGATATGATAAAAACTCTTATTACTCGCTTCGGTACTCCCTAATAATAGTTTTATTTCCTCATATACCTTCCATATACTCTTTTTAAGCTGGCAGATATTGCATTCACTTGTCTTAAACGAGACAATTTAAAATTAATAATATTTTTTATGCTTTCTTCCTTGAACACTATTAAAGTACGTGTTGTCCAGACCATAGCAAAGAAAAAATAGCATCAGTCATTGTGTCCGCCATGTCAAATTATATATTACTACTTACTTGCATAGTGATGCAGTATTAAACTCCTTGTGCTGGGGAGGAGGCGCCGCCGCCGGTGGTGCAGGTGACGGAGCCGTCGCAGCTACAGCCCCACTTCCCTGCATACCAGCTGAAACTACTATAATAATAAAAAACATCTGTTAATGATAAAACCTAATATTTTTTGTAATAGAAAAAAATATTTTCCTGTATTTTTTTTTGGTCTAGCGGTTTAGCTTATCGCTTTACGTCAAGTGGTCGCGGGTTCGATTGTTCGCACAGTACAAACATCTGTATTTACTATTTATGAGTATGATTGCCTGAGTGTTTCTATTTATTTAAAAAAAAAGTATATATAATAATATGATTTATAATATGATTTATTTATTTCTCCTCACAAACATAATTATGAGTATGATTGCCTGAGTGTTTCTATTTATTTAAAAAAAAAGTATATATATATTTCTAAGTTGTTTAGTACCCATAACACAATTTATGCTTTCCTTGGGACTAGACGGCGCTATGTAAATTTTTCTGAGATATTATTTATAGAAATTCCACCTATAATTCAACCCAAATTAACTATTATGTATTACATCTTAGCAATGACATCTTAATCTTCCAGAAGGGCAACTGCTGAGTGGTGTCGCGATAATGTGATAACGTGATGTCCGTAGTGTTGTTCAGATCATATACCTGAACAGCACAATCAATGGTTACCATTCCAATAACATAAATAAGTCAAATTGCATTAATAGCTTGATGAAAAAGAACAAAATAGTTCAATATAAATATATAATTATGAGATAATATAAATAATTGATAGCTAAAATAAGTTAAAAATAAGTTTAGTAGAATTTTATATAAATAAGTAGGTTTAAGTATAAAATTATGATTAATACCAAAAAATTATAGACCGTTACATACTGTAATTAACACAGCTAAACTGATCAACGGATAGTCAAACTTGTATGTCTTATTTAAGGTAAACACACACAATGATTCTTTTAGAAAGCAGTATTATTGAAACAATACTGAAAGTATGCTGGTATATTGTTACAATTATTATAACATGCAAAAAAATTTTGTTGTATGTTGGATATTTTTTCCTATAGTCCTCTTATAATAATGTGTTATATGTGGTGTATGTTGCTTTAACTATTATATAAAATGTATGTGTACATCTTGTACCAAACTTTCCATAAATCAGTAAACAAAAATATATACCTTGCTGCTGTACAGTTTGAGGACCAAGTCCTCCACCAGGTGGTCCTCCCACACCAACTCCCATGCCCTAAAATATTACAAAATAATAACAATGTATTTATCATATATCATTGCACATGTAGCCTCTATGGTCTAGCAGTTTAGCACAAAGCTTTATATCAAATCATTGCATACTACAGATATTTGCCTACTCATGAGTATGATTGTAAAAATAAAATAAGTATTTACATCAGTTGTCTTGTTGTAACTAAATACAAACTCAGCTTAGATTGGAACTAGATGGCACAGTGGATTATCCTCCTGGATATTGTTATTATTATTTTATATATTAAGCCTTAAATAAACTTTGTGGCAGGGAAGAAATTAGATTAAAATTGTAATCAATATGTAATCAATAATACATGTTAGTTATATGTACAAACTCGCAGGAAAAAATAGTCACAAATAAGAGTATTGCAATTATAAAGTAACCTTTGATAGATTCTTAATGTCAAGATGAAAAAATATTATAGAAATTTCTTATTTTTTATGATATTTAAAATGTTTTATAAAACACAACAATAATGACAGAACATGGGATAATGTGCCATTTATAAATAAACCTAAAAATGAAATAAACTGAAATTTTTCTAATTGACAGCAATCAGTCTCAAAATTTTAAACTGATCCATTGATCATCATTCTTTTCCAATCTTTTGTTGCTTTATAGTACTTCATTTTTAACAACCTGTGGTCCCATTCCCATTGTTCCCATCTGGTTCTGCATGGCTGCTCCATATGGTGGTACCATTTGATTGCCCATGCCCACCATTCCTCCAGGATTTGACATTGGCCCTCCCATAACACCTGGAAGCACAATATTACAACTGATAGGGATAATAATGAAATGAATAAATAGACTCTAGACCATGACACTTTCCACACAGCAATGAGAACTCATAAATAATAATGTCATGATACATATCCCATACATAGTTTAAAAAAAAGTTGCCACCACTATCTGTATGCTTAGATCTTTTAAACTAGGCAACACATTTTAATGCAGTATTAAGCATTACATGGAGTGATTCAAATGAAGGTTTATATGTATAATACATACATAATATAATATGGAGAAGCCGAGAAATTCTAAGATTTATAACACCCCCCTGCAAAGCCAGCATGGGTCTCTAGTATTTATAAGAATATGCTTAAAGGTAGAAATAAGTAGACTTAAAGTACCTAACCACAGGTATATTTTATGTTAGGTATCCTAAAATAGCAGTAGTTACTTAAACAAACTTATCATCCACTATTTTAAATTTTAGCTCATTTGGTGGTAAATAGTAAAAATTTCCAAGTGACAATATACTTTCTAGCCAATAGTAGACATCCCTAATGTGTTACTATTGCTTAGTACCGTGTTATATATTGTAATTTCATTACAATATCTGACTTTCTAACCCAAAATGAAGCCGCCTATAGACACTTTGTAGTCTGCCCCTGATACATGATACTTATTGTAACAATAAGTAGTAAATAAATAGTTGTTAACACCTGCTAGTTGATTAGGCATTCCTTGCATTTGGCCGCCCATAGGTCCTGCACCGAATCCGGTTCTCATGCCACCGGCATTGCCCTGAAAATTACCGGGAAACTGGTGTCCTTGACCAGCCATTTTTTATTTTATCTGATTAAAATACCAATCTGATTTCTAAGAAATCTATAAAACACACAGCCTTAATTTATTTTTAAATAAAAAAACAAATAATTGTTAAATATACAAAACAAAACCTTTAGTAATTCGGTTTCACAAATTGACATCTATGTTATGTCAAAAGACAAAGTCAGTCAAACTGTCAAGCAAGAATGACGCTACTGACTTTGACTTCTGATTTCTAAAAACAGTTACCATCTCCATCAAGACAAGTTTGACATTAAATCAGTGTTGCCAGTAATCTAAATAATTTATTAAAGCGTATATATAAATACTAGCATCCTGCGACTTTGTACACAATATATACAACTTACAACACACAAAACATACAACTTTCATCCCCTAATATATTTACTCTCTTAATAGTAACATTTTTACAATCCTTCAATATCATATTTATTTATATTTAATCAACAGCCTAAAAATAAGTTTAAAGCTTCGAGCTTTTAAAATGACAATACTTACATACAACCTTTTATCTCTGCTTTTTAACACATACCAAGCTTTTTTCGTCTTAAAAAGTACCTACGTCCTTTCTCAAGATCTAGGTTAGGTGTACCAAATTTCATTTAAATCGGTTCAGTAGTTTTGGAGTGAAAGCGAGACAGACTGACAAAGTTTCTTTCGCAAATACATTACTGAGGACTAAAATTTGTACTAAGAAACATTAGGGATATTGGTATTTTCCTTCATTAGATATAAAAACGAAAATTACTTTTTTAATTTAATTACAATAAATATTCCATTTCTATATATATAGTCCTTCCTTACCAAGTTCTCACCGTTTCATCTATCTTTCATATCATCTACTATATATTTTGTTTTTAAACTACTATATATACACGTATAAAAAATGCAGATGGAGTTAGTATTGTCTCAGCTATATAGCTGGCCAATGTACTCGTATTACTTATATAGCTGAGAAAATTTAGAAGAAACAGTTGTAGCTCGATTTGATTTGTAGTCTTCGATTGGTCGGAATACTTAGAGTGGAAAGATAGCACTAAGTACCTACCCACAGATTTGTTATGAACCTATAGATACACTACATTATTATAGTATACTTTGGAAGCAAGCCAGATTCTTGACGACATCATTCTTTCGACCCAATTCCTTCGGGCTTTTTAAATATAGAAATAAAAAATAGACATCATCTATGCTGCTACTTATGTAGATGCAGTTGAAGGTCTTATGTTACAGACTTTTTGCTGTCATCGTCATAGCAATCTATCCATCATCCACTGCTGTATGTAGGACTATCTGCCTATAAAGACGATCCATATGTGTTAAAGTTTGTACCTACCTATTCTATGCCAGAACGAGACTTCTTTTATGTCTAGGTAGATAAACAATGCAAACGGGTCTAGTGAGACTGATAAGGAAGTTGAAATTGTTACCCACTAAAAAACAATAAATCAAATCAGATAAAAAATCATTTATTCGTTTTAGCCGCTTATGTACTTTATACTCTTTGTATTAATATTCTTTACCATCCAACAACTATTGCCATGTACATAGATGGATGATCTATCTACACTATTGCTAATTTATTAAGTACTCTAATTTGTTTGTGATTAAATTGTAGTAATTAATGTAATGATAATTGTTTTTACTTCTTGTGGTAGGTAGCTAGTCTTTATATGTAATAAAAATCTGGAATCTAGATGTAGTACAAATATCTATCTAGATTTTAGATTATACATGCAAAATTCAGTACCAGATTTTTCAGTAGCGATTTAAGATTGTTTATGAATAAACAAAGAATATTATAGAAATATTTTATTAAAACTTTTAATCCTTTTTCTTCTCAATCCATTAATATAGGGAATAAAAAGAAACTCTTGATTTAAGTACCTTAAAAATTTATTTTCCATTTTAGAATATCCTAAATTAAGTACATCGTAGTATAATTTTAAATTAATTGTAACAATTATTAGGTATTTATTATGAATTCACATTCATTTATATATGTAATATAGATAGGTAATTAAATTGTGCTTAAAATTACTGTCAAATGAAATGCACTTGTAATGGACTGATCAGAACGTTGCTACCCTCTGTAGCAGTCGCTCTGGAGTACCTATGTTATGTACCTGTGTATCTTTGATGATATGTGTAATAAAATATAATGTTATATAAATTCTAAGTACATCAATACGTAGGTATTTTAAGGCAAGATGGCCGCAGTTATGGCAAATATGATTCTATGTTTCATTTGGTCTAAGCTTCTAATTTAATCTACTTATATTTATGTATATTTATTAGTGTGTATAATTCAATATATTGGACCGAATCAAGATTTCAACTCGAATGAACCGAGACGCAACAAAAGAGATTAGATTCGGCCCATAGGTAAATATTTAACAATTTTTATTACATACTCTTCCACATAATAAATAGTTATCAACATGTAGATTTACAAATATCAACAAAATAAATTACAAATAACAGCATATTTTTATAATTAGAATAAGGCTTACAAACTAATTTACAGTGATACTCTAAATGTTCCTAACTTGTACTAGGTAGGTTCTCGGCCAATCCTGGCGTATCCACTTTATATGGGTAGATACTTAACATAAGTCATGTATAAGATTATATTTCCACTTTATTATTGCTTAACATAGAGAATTCATATATAAATCCGTTAAGAGTCCGTGCATACGTGGGAAGGGACAGTTTCCATTGTATATTTGAGTAATTATGGACTTTTGGCGTGTACTTCATTACTAACAGAGGGCTGGTAATTTTAAATCTGCACATACTAGCATGGTGCCAATTCTAAAGTGATGCCAAACATCAAAATGTCACTTTACATCCCCATTTGATAGTTTTTACAATAAATTAATTATTAGACTATCCATCGAATGTCTTTATTGAGTCTTGACTTTTACTAATAACCGTAATTGATATTTTCATACAATTAATTTTATTATATGTATATAATACACTACATCTTCGAAATTTACCGGTGTGTTTCATACCATATCAAAACAAATGGGATGAGTCCCTATCATATATTGCTTCAGTTCTTTTTTGAAGTTTACCACAAGGATTTGTCCCTCGTCTGCACTCTGACTTAAAACATGTACATCATGTAATATCATAATGTATATAGGCAACTTCTAGTAGGTAGATATCAGCTTCCTATTAATAGACCACGTGATTTTTCATTTGTTGAGATTTCTATAAAGAATTAAGATGGCCGACGAACGCCTAAAATCATTACATTAAAATTACATGGACTAGTAATTCAATTATTCTAACTAATAAGTACCCCATACCGCTTTGGAGAACAAAATAGATTAATATTACAAGGGCTTAAACAAAATAATGTTTTCGTAATACGGAGAATAAGATATTACATACTTATAATTACAATTTAATTAATAGTTAGCCCTTTATTGATCTCCTTCAATCTTAAGTTAAACCAAGCCCTTTTCAGGGCCTGTTGAGCAACATGGACATGTTATAGACCTAGAAAATCTAGACTTACACAGCGCAAGATGTTCCATATATCCTGTATACGTACATAGTTATGTGATCTTTTATATTTATAGTGAAATACTCGAAACTTCAAAACGAAGTCACAGCACTTTAAAGTACCCCTAACAATCACTGCCAAAGATTGGCGGGTACTACCAAAATTTGAACACGAATCTAGGATAAGATCGAATTAAGTGCCATAACTAAAATACTAAGATAGACAAATTTGGTAATTACAATAATGCAAATTTGAATTGAATAAAATTTAAAGTTAAATTAGTGTATCATAAAGATTTTAGTGAACTATAAAAATGTTTAACAAACTGTTATTACAATTAAAGTCATATACCTACTATACATTCAAAATGTATTAGAAATAATTATATCGTATATTTTGTATATACCAGGCGTAGTAGAAATACAGATGATATAACGTTTGTAGTTGAATATAAACAATCTATTTTAATTTTGATAGTAGATATAAATTACATGTAACATTAAGGTAACATACTACATTCGTCATTTCATAGACATATTTGGAAATGGTAAAGAAATTGGAAACCTAAAACAATGGAAGCAAAATTTTACATATTTGCATTTTCCACTTTATCTAAAGGAAGGTTTAGTATACCTATGTACCTACTCATATTTAATATTAATAAAATAGAGAATAAAATACATAGTAAGTTTCAAGAGTTACCTTAACAATAAGCAGAATGCTATATAGCTTTGTTGTAACATATCTCTTTATTGTCATTGAACAGCTATTTGCTACATATGTATAATATATATTATATTCTTTGAATATTCAATTCGAATAGTTATTATGAAGGAAAATTGCATTTAAGAACAATGAAAAATATACCTAACTAGCCTATTATGTATAAAAAGTAGGAAAATATGTGTGATGTCGGGAAGTAGGATGGATAAGGCAAGAACTTTGTAACATAGCTATATACTTAGTGCCTCTATTTTAATTATACTTATACCTAAGTAGACATACGGGATATTACTAGTAGATATTTTTCAAATGATAAGTAAATTAAGTACCCACAAGGCTCCTTAATTCTAACGTAAAAGCTTATAGCTTTGGTCATTTTATAATATTTTTGGTTGTTAAAGAATCAACTAGTTCTAGACATCATCTATGTTAGTCTAAATATTTGGCTTTCCTGAACGTCACCCTTCAGACAATGAGACGACATCTGGCTACTTTCACAAGGAGCACTTTATATGTCGTCATCTCATAATATTTTCTCACCTAAGTACGTTACATTTACTTATTCAAAGCTGCTTTAACAATGACCAGCATTTTTTTGACAAGAAAGCTCAGTGGAGTCAAGTCTTCGCAACAGGGAATCGCCATGTTGTAAGTGCTATACCTATTGCTACAGCAGCATTGAGGACTCGTTACTTCAATTCCATATTTACTGCATCCGCGCTTCTTGAAGGGGCGGGGGATACGGCAGCGGGGGGAGGAGGGGAGCCTGGACACCACCTCCTGGCAAAGCATAGTAAGGAGACATGTACCCAGCCCCACTGGCAGCTGCCGCCGCTGCTGCTGGAAACAAGAACACGCACATAATTTAATTAGTGGTCAAGTTACAAATAAGAAAATATTATAACATTCCGGCAACCATTACGAACTGTTAATCATATATATAGTATATTAATATTTAAATTATGTAACTATTTCCATTAGGTAGGTGTTACTGCAATTTCTTTAACATCTAAAAGAGTAATTTTGTTATTACTTAATTAATTAATCCAATAAGCTTTCCTTTTGTTGTTTCGTTTTTTTTTCCTTTGATAACCCTGTTTTTTAACTGCACTTCTGAACACGACTGTACTTATTGAACTTGCTCTACGAAATATTTTCACCATTTATTTCAAACATATAATACAAGATATACATGAATTTTCATTAAAAACCCTAGAAACCCTTTCAGCTTTCAATACAACCTAGTGTACTCCAATCTAATGGACTACAATTAAGATTAAAAACGATTTAATTTATATTAATATTGAATGAATAGATATTTATATAATATAAACACGTACCTGCCGCAGTGGCGTATGGATCAAATCCTGCCGCCGCGTACTGCTGCTGATAGGCAGCTGCACCTTGCGCCGCCGCTGCTTGGTACTCGTAAAGGTGATTAGCAGCTGCTACCGCTGCAGCGTGTTGCAATTGGGGCAGCTGCACCAGCCCCCCAGCACTTGTGCCAACACCCGATCCCACCCCGCCAACAGCACCGACATACCCCGGCGCTCCATACACGTAACCAGGTGACAACCTGCCAATTTGACGAGAACAAGTTCATAACGAGGAACTAGGAAATGCAGACATAAAGGTGGAGTTAGACCAAACAAGAGATCTTCATTCCTCCCCTACTTATTCGATCCGTTTAGTATAAACATGGTATTACAAGCATTCAAGAACATTATATCGTTAGACTCTATTCGCGAAACAACTTTGCATATAACTGCATTGTTCATTTAATCTACCTAATAACCCATCTATAGGCTATCTTCTATATCTCTATTCTCTTTATAATTTTAGTCTAACTCCACCTTTACGCATTAAAGAAACATTTCTTGAATGCCTGATGTTTCAACACCAACGATGGCCTTTCATCAGGATATACGGTCCAGAACAAATACTGGACAAAGTCCGTGAAAGGTCATAGGCACATTATTAATGTTCAAAACTGTCACAATAAACTTAGCCCCATCTGCAGCTTGACAGGCACGAGCAAGTCTAGCTTTGTTATGTTAGTAGACATCGATATTTTGTTAAAAAATTGTAAGTATATGCGAATATGGTTTGTCTGAAATTATTCTAGTTGTGGAACCGCGCCGCTGTGCGTCAATGCTCGGAAGTAAAAAAAGACAGTATTAAAAATATTTTGGAGTGCGGCACCGTTCACTGGCTGGACCGAAATATCCGACATTCCGTATTTATCATTAGATCGTCGGGAAACAGGAAAATTAAGATTTAGATACATGTCAGTTACGAAATCCCGGTGACAGTTTGGGCCGGCAGGAATAACGATATTGCAACAAAGTACCTAAACGTGCGCCAATTAAGAGATAAATGATTATATGAACTACCCGTATTAATAATATGATAAATTATAAAGTGTGTTTACTTTTTACCGCTAACGGCTAATGTATTATATTTTGGGATGCACAAAGACAGGCGACTTTTATGCCAGTCAATGTATTTGTATTGGTCACGCGGACAATTCCACGTCTTTATGACCAGTTATTCTGTATGTTGTTTTGTATATTCTCTATTCAGTATTCTGGGCGAAATGTGATACTGTAATGTGATTAAATAAATAATATGCAATATTCCGAGAACTTCTGGGCCTGCAGTTGAAGGCATAGATTATGTAAGACCGTTGTTAAGAATTCTCATTTGAAAGCTATATTTGTATTAATGAACCATTGAGAGCATATCAAATTGAAATGGTACATTAATATAAATATAGCTTAGATACAGTATCGTGACCTGATATTCTGGAGGCAATATGATATTTTATTACTAAATAATAATCGAAATCCCGGGGACATTATAGGATAGCATTTTTGGCCGGGTATGTCATTACATTATAATTATAATAAAACTCAAAACAAATTAAAATAGGATGATGTAATCTGTTTCAAATGATCACTTACGTTAATATACTATATCATTCGACCACAGGAATTATGATAGAGCTACTCATAAATTAACAATACGCCAATTAAGAAATACCTTTAGGCTCATAATATCGTTGGAACAACTCATTATCGTCCCACGGTTGGCCACATATATCTGCTCAGAATTACAGTCGAACTTCATTTTCAGTTATAATATTATATAAACCTATAATATAATAACATATTTTTCGTTTCGTTACAGTACTTTTTATTGTGACATAACGAGTTTATTCTATTAATGTGATATTGTCATCAAATTTTGTTTCTATGCAAGTAGCGCGACTACTCTTAATTTTGCTGAACGTACAAAGGCGGTCAAGTGGCATGAAGATCTCTTCTACGGACGCCGTTTCGCATCAGCAATTTGTAAGAGCTCCTTCAACCGCTTTATAGAAAACCGAACCATCAACTATCTTTTTCTGATTCTATAGGGATGATAGGGATGATCCCATTGGTACTCAGGAGCGGAATTCAGTTGTGTCACGGTACAGGATGTTGGGTGCTGGGCGCATGCGTAAAACACGCCCGCCCGACACATTGCTCCGCCCGTCCATCACGCCTACCTGAAATCTACTGGTCCTATTCGCAAATACCTACTACACTAATTTATAAATACTCATAACAAATATGCATAGATGTATATATTAAATATTACTAAATATTTTGACACGCTGTAAAAAACTATTTCTTTATTCTACTAATTTTCTAATTCGTGAACTGAAATATTTTGGACATATTATTTAACTACGTAATGTAATGCTCAATGAATATAGGTAGTCGTGATTATTGAAATATATAATAAAAAACATAAACTAAAATAGATACAAACAGCATTATGAAACTGGCAAATCATCAATTCATCACACAAGCTGAGCTGAGATATCTACATAGTTATAAAACACAATAAATTTAACAATAACAATACTGAATAAATATTTTGTTATACTTAAATGTTTGAGATTGATGAAATATTAATTATTAAATACAATATTATCATATAATATTGCTCATTATATAATAATATTAGTAATTATAATATATCAAAATACAACACTAAAGGTTATTAGGGATAGTATAAGAAGTAAAGAAAATAACTACTAACGAATAACAATAAATATCATATTATATATTAACACAATAAATAGTAAAACATTACCGAAGATAAATATGAGTCTAGAAAATTCCAATTAAGTAAATGAGTACATACATTGCTAGTTGCTAGTAAGTAGATTAATTCTAAAATAGAACCCTGTTATTGTAGATTGACTAATGACATTGTTTGTAAGTAGGTACCATGTGTTTATTTGATTGGAAATAAAACACAGAGCGATTAATCGAATGAGGCTTTCACTTGATTATTTTTCCATTTCGATCATGAGTTTGAATGAATTATATATGGATATATGGTGGTGCGGCCAGCGAGCCTGTTGGCTTAGTGCGCATCGATCGGCCACCATCGGCCACGGTGTAATTAACAGGTACACGCAGGCTGCAGGTCGGGCGGCAAAACTCTTTCGGCATGGATGAGCCGGATTGGGTAGGAATGGTAGAAAAGATAGCACGGCGGCGGTAGGAGCGGTCGAGGTAGCGCACACACCTACGCACACACAGCGCAACTTCGACCGCGCCGCCCAACGGCGCGGCGGCCGCCGACCTACACAGTCCACGTATATAACAATACTCAGTAAGTGTATTATACGAAATCCACCACCAACAAAACTCAATTCAAATCAACAAAATCTTACACGAACACGGCATAAAACATAAAAGAAAACATTGAGTGTCGAGAACGATGCGTAGTGGTTGCGTTGGGCGGCGCCAGCGCGCCGACGTCGCCGGAGCCGCCCATGCTTTTGTAGCTTTATAAAACGTAAACATTAAAAAACCCAATCGACTAATTCACACCCAAAACGAAAAAATCCACTCTCACGCTCACGCTTGCCATAGATACCTATGTGAAAATGTTTGATAATTTATTCTAGGTGTAGTCCGCAGGCCGCCGCGCCGCTAGCCACGCTAGTCGTCCGGAGACGCCGCTTCCATCATCTACCGAGACAAAAGTCAGCTCAGCATACTGGACGTACCGTATTGCTGTACCATAGACCCTTACTCATAGGCGTGACGCATATTGCCCGTAATATAAGAAGATCCTAGCTATAATCTGACTTATATACTGGGTATATTGTAATGTAATTAAGTAATACAGATAATTACTGGGACGTTTTGAGTCTACAACTCAGAGCACGGAATTTGAAATATAAATGACTGGCAATAAACAATATTGTTACTATATTATGGTGACCGCTTTTAAATCCTGATTACACAGGTAGCATTGTAAGCCTCACAATAGTGGAAATATTTATGGGTTTATGCCGATTGAAGCAGATTGATCAGATTAGGTATAGAACCAGAAAGGGTTTTCCTCGTAAGAGGTGCATATTTAATGAGAATGAACTAATTGTTCATAATGAGTGTATTGTTACGACATAATTACTTTTGAAATTTTTAATTAATATTATAATATATAATTTTTGTACTTCATTCTTCTAATCTAGGTAGTTAACAATACTTTGAACGTATATTCGCTAAAATATAAGATTTATACATATTTCAAATCAAATATTGAGGTACCTATCTGATTTTTGTCTCGTGAGATGTATTCAGAGCGACATGCGGCGTCGCTAGTGCTGGCAAATATCGGAGTGTTGAACCATTGAACATTGATACAATAAATGCGATGTAGACAGCAAAAAGGCCTGTACTCACCCATAAGGCGATTGTAACACAGTCGGGTAGCCGGCACGGACGCCGGCTGCAGCCGCCGCCGCCAGCCCGAAACCTGCAACAAAATGAACTATCTATAAATATGAATTACACAAAATGAGGTGACAACACGACATGGACAGCAATTCCAAGTAAAAAAATGTCCCTAACCACCTATAATTCTTTCGTCATTCGTATGTTCAGAGTCGTTATTTTTGTTCTCACTTAACGGAAGTGGCTGCGGAGAACTTTAAACTAAAATATATTACGAAGAGATTGGACCACATCCAAATGACACACGAGTCAACTTAGAGCAGGCAACGTCAAAGAGTTAATTTCTTTTTATTGCATTGTTAAGTCGCGCGAGGCGGCTTCTATTTCTGTAGCTCGGTGCGGACACCGCCCGGGCACCGGCATCCAGGGGCATACCTTTTGACAAGAAGACGACAAACATTCGCTATAAATGGGTTTCAGTTCAGCAGTTGGCACCCTGACAAAACTAGAATGCTTCGAGTAATTATACTTGAATGATATTGATGTACGCTTAGCTGTAATGACATTTCCTAGTCATGAAAATTTTTTATTTGATTTTGTCACTATTGAAATTTATATTCCGAATCCTAAATAACATATCACATTTAGGAAGTGTGCAATCATAATAATGATGTAGGTATTATAAATCGCTGATTAACGGTTAACAGCCAAAAGAGCGTGACCTCTGCCGGTTTAAATCAACGAAGCTATTGTACATGGTGAAATTTCACCGGTGATTACAGTGGATTACATCCGGAGAGTCCCGGATGATGTCGCGGTCTGAGTGTTACGGTAATATTGTATTGACCTTCCGATTGCCAATATCACATCCATCGCATAATTACCTAGTGCCAAAATTATTGCGTAGGTATATTTCGCCCCTCTCTTGTTATGAGATTAAAATTACGCATAAATACACGGAAAGATACACTGTTGAATCTAAATATTTATGTTGCATACCATAAAATATTTTTTGTTAGTTTATGTTATTTTCTAATATTGTTGAAAATCGATGTAATAACTTAACTAGCTTTTTTGTCTGACTGCACTACCCTGTCGTTCATCGAATGGAAACTGCTCAAAAAGACACCATCCCACCCCGGTTCATCGCGTGTCAGACATATGGAATCGAGCGTGATGTGCTACCGCAGTTCGATCGATTGGATACCATTTGACGGCCGAGGTCGAACCACTGTCCACCATAAAGCTTATCTTGATTCATTAAAACATTTTCCTCTTTCCTTCCATGACCATTGTCGCACGGCCTGAATGCGATGTTCTTTTGTTAGTTGTATGTGACCCAGATAGATTTCAGTTGTAATCGATTGTCGGCTACTACACAATAGTTTCACATTCGAATATTCAATAACTAAGTAATGTGGAACAAACTGCTATGACGCAGTATTTTTGTATTTGCCTTCTGAGAGTCGAGCGTCACGTTCTCTCAGCAATCACTTACATCCCTCTCTCAATGAACAATTTGACAAAGTGTAGGTGTAACTCACATGCAGCTTTGTTTTGAATACTTTTGCGGGTTGTTTTAGGACGACTTGTGGATTCCGGGTCATCGAACTGCAAAGCCCAGTAAGCACAGTAAGTGCTTAACGTCGCTTGTAAGGATTCTACGGAAATACGATTTTAGATGCAGGCGTGGACTGAGCCGCACAGAGTAGGTACATGTACTTATTCAAATACCATTACTTCTACAACATATAATTAAGGTAACAATAATAAAATATGCTCAAAATCAGCCAACTTCAATCAAATGACGCGAAACCTATTTAGCTTCGTTTATGAGTTCAAAATTTGCGCAAGTGCCAATGACATATATTCAGGAAAGAAAACTATTCAATAATTGGTACACCAGTTTTGCATTGTAAATACATTGTAACTTCAATCTGTCATGTAAGTTTATTAGCCCAGGAATAGATTCAGTTCAGTCGTGGCCCAGTTTCGTATGGCCAAACTGAGAACTAGTCTCACGACCGTGACAGAGCTTGTCGTGTCCGGTGGCCTTCTCTTTGATCTGACCGGTGTCGTTCTAATGCTAGCACCCATCAATTCTACACACCAGTACAATTTATCGCCGGCCAACCTCCGTTTACCAAACGATTAATTACCGGCTCTCGCCTCGTCAGTTCCTTGGACACTTATACAGGAAACACGTGTAAATTATCGGCCGAATTTTAAAGTCAACGCATAATATTATGTTATCTGTAATTGAATTTGCAAAGTAATCTTACTCGACATACCAACATGTTTTATGTTTGAGATCTGTTGAAAAAGAAACAATTTACCCTATTTCAAGTCAAAATTTCCATAGGTTAACATAAGCTGGTGAAGAAAGATGAGATTCTGGCGTATTGCCAGAACTGATGTCGCGGCAGAGGCAGCCGCGACGACGTTCCCAAAACTGCGTATATTTAGACAAAATAAAGAGCGCGCCGAAGACAAAACGAGACGCAACTCTGTTTTATAAATAACCACGTCGTTCGGCGAACGGACTCAGCCTCGCTCGCCCAACCTCTGCTCGCCAGCTGTTGTACATAAATAATAATTAAGACAAGAAGAAAGCTTACTAGACAGACTATCGAATCCTTGTAAAAATGTTAAAGTACACTAGACTCGACTAGAGATGATCACATTCCTCCCTAAGCGGTATAAGGGTATCTTGAGAAAGTAAATTACGATGGTAGAGGATTATCAGTGGTTCGCAGGGCTTCGTGCGGAAGTCGCGGCTAGGGATCGTGTTACAAATATGGTGTGACAAAGGGAGCGGAACTACTAGACTCGAGTGTTCCTGTCGCGACACCGGTTCTATATGACGCCTCCCTGATTAAAATTTGATGTACTTATTGTTGTATCATTTCATAGTAATTGGTGACACGACATACCTACTCAGTCGCCCAACTGTTTTTTTTTTTTTGGGACAGATGCCACACATCCGTACTATACGGAAGACACTGTTATTTTCTTGGATCCTGTTCAACAACGTTGACGTTAGTGTAGCGACCTATCTATGCAGATAATTTACTAATAACGAGTAAAGTCTGCGACTTTACTATTTTTACTCTTTTCAGATTTACGTTCATAATGTTGTAATATCTTATTAAGCTACTTCATAGTCTAGACTTTACATACAATTATTTCATTTGCATTATTTTAGTTGTTTTTTGTAAAAAGAAAAAATGTTACAGTCAAATCTATTAAGGGGTCCGTAGTCGTTAAAATTAGTTAGTTAACAGTAATAAATATAATTATAATTCCTCTATATTTATCGCTAATATAATATCCCCTTGCAGTAAGTAGCAAACGGTCGCGAGGCTGTTCTGCAAACCTATAACAGGTATGGCTTCACTTCATACAATTATAAACACCGCACAGTTGTATCGATCAACATACATTTCATCGGCAGGCCAAATGTCGGACGAATTGAATTGAAATATCGAAAGATCTCTACATTATGGATCTACATAATTTAAATTTTATATTTTTGCCCAACAATTATTCTTTATTTAGGTTTCCGAATGATATTAAAATTAAGAAATGAGTGTATACTATACATATACAAATTTAGTATGATTCGTATATCCCATGAAAAGAAAATCTGCAAAAAAACATAGTCGATTTATAATATTATGTATCCACTATAACATAACAAGAAAAACAAGATACCTATATCGAGTTTTTGAGAAATAACAAAAACTTTTCGCAAATAAACTTAATGCCACAGAACAGAGAATATTCAGTCCTTCCTTGCAGACCACTTCAAAGAAAAGCATTTCACTCGTAAATAATGTATATTTTATAAGAAATATAACACTAAACTAAAACTTTAAATGATAGATAATTTTGAAACTTAATATAAACAAAATATTACCATATTATATTGATAAATCATAGTCAAAAACTATTTTTTCCCCAAATTTTATTTGACTATATCTGTTTTCAATAAACATATTATATATTACGAAAGGATAGCATCGGCACAAAATTATGAAAGGTATACATACTTTATTTATTAAAACCCTAACCACAAAGCTCAATATACAACGTAACTTATATTAGCGTCACGCTTCACTATTTTTTTCCCTTCCCCACTTCCCATAGAATTAAATATGGTATAGTTTGCTATCGATCAGGCACGTGCGGAGTCATCAGTGCATTCAAGGCCTAAATCCCAAACCCGAAATAAAAACCGTCGGGGTTGCTGGGCATTAGGGGGTGAAGTAGCGAAGGGGGGACATGCATAAGTAATGCATCAGAGAAGGGCGCTAAACAGCGCACGCGATCCAACTGCAATGTTAAACATTGAGGTACTTGCCCTTTCATTATCTTCGAGCCCCAAAAATATTTTCTAATTACAATGGGTGGTTGAAATAAAAATATATACGTATATTGAAATTTCACAGTAATAATAATTAGATGCATCATACGAAGAATGATACAATTAATGCCAAAATTATAATTAATGATAAAGTACTTCGTGAAATAAATCGATAATAAGCATATTTAGCGTTATATAATTAAAGCAAAATATATACAAAACATTTTAGTTAATAATACAAATGGTAACTTTTATTTTTTTTTATATAATTCTATTATATAAAACGCACAATATTGCACTTCTCAATTATTATTGTCATTTTTCAAATTGTTAGCACTGCAATTTCCTCTTAGGTATTTCATAAAATCATTGATAATGTAATTTACCTACAATATAATCATTGATTCATATTCACAGTATAAAAAACAGTTTAGTATTGTCATACTTTTTAAAAATATAATATTATAATAAATATTACGTTAATTGTAATACAGTATCTATATTAAATATCTTTATGTAAGTTTTGCGTGATACTAGCGATATTGTATGAACATTGTTCCATAATTTTTAAGTAACTGCATATAATAACAATGGATTTCCGTCAAGCAAACATATATGAACGAGCTAATAATAGTCTATTAGGCCGATGTTTATATAAGACAACTTATACTTGTCTACCTTATACTGTCTGTCTAACTTATACTTGTGTAGGTGTA